TATGAATGATGGATTGCACCATAATGTTGCTCAGTACTGTTAACCTAACTCTGCTATAAGAAAAGAAGTGAAAAAAAATCTGCAAAAGATTTTACATAATCCGAATTATGACTTCAGGAGGAATATTGGAACTGGCGATTTCACCTTGAAGCGGACGATATAAGCAGCTATGAGCACACCGACGCTCTGGAGGAGATCTCCCAGAGCGTGGATGAAGGCCGCTCTAACGGCGAGGCTGCCGCTGGGCCTCTGCTGACCCGGCCCGGCAGAGTGTGAACCCGAGGGAGCAGCCGGACCGTGGGAATGACCGTGACCGTGAGAGTGGAGGTGGCCTCCCTGGTTTAACAGAAAACCCATTCTGAAAAGACAAAGAGACATTAAATCACACGTCTGACCAAATCACTAAGCCGACTCTGTAAACACTGACTTACAGGTCAACACCTGAAGTCTGTGCAGTAAAGGCAGCAGCACTTTGGACTGAACTTATAAGGTATTTTTCTGCATCTCATAGATTTGTTTGTTCTTTTTCGGTAGAAATGGCCATGCTTACATAAGATTAACCGCCACCCCTACAGCTGCAGTGATGAGCATGACGTCCCCATCTATGTCAAAGTCCTGATGCACAGTCCGCAGGACGGCCTCGTACAGCAGGATGGTCGTCAGGATGTAGATGAGCAGCACACTGAGGACCGCCGACACCACCTCTACAACGACCACACACAATCGGACGTCAGCTCAGAAACACACGCTTATTAAACGCTGACTTAACCATATTACACTTCTCTTTTAACAATGTTACAGTAACGATTAAAAAAAAAAGAGCAGAAATTTTCTTGCAACTCAATCTCACACAATGGCTTTTGATCTGCGACTGTACCATCCAGTTTAACATGTGTGTTTAATAATAATAATTCTAAAAAAATATACATTTTTCTGAATTTTTCCATATTTTTCTCACATTTCTCATCATTTTTATTTTTTCCTTTGAGGAAATTAAACAGTAAACTGCTGTTGTACCACAAAAAAACAACAACTTAATTATGACGTATTAATGTGAAACACATAAAAAATCTGACCTTTGTAATATTTCTAAAGAAATAATCGTACTTGAAATTATTAACAAGTCTCTATAGGGTTTATACAGACCCAATCATTCAGCCAGCATATTGCCTCCATTGTTACAGATGAAATAAAAGAGATTGGATTCTTATCTGCTTTGAGCACAGCTGAAAATACACTTCTCCAAATTATTACTCAGCAGGAAAAGTAACATGAAATGCCACAGCGGGAGCAGCTGCAAATGGAAAGTGACAGGAAAAAAACCCCAAAAGAAAAACAAATCGGCTTGGCTGCCTGTGCAACTCACCAAGGCGATGTAGTCCAAAGGTGAATCTCTTGGTGGGCGGCTTGGTGGAGAGCCACAGGGCCAGCAGAGAAAACAAGATACCAACCACATCTGCTAGCATGTGCACAGCATCAGTCATTATTGCTAAACTGTTCGACACGTAACCACCTGGGGGGAAAAATGGAGGAAAATGAGAGATGTTTACGACTGGCTATCTAAAAATCATTCGTACGTCCTAGCTAAATTAGTTTGGTGCTGTTCAGTGTAATGGGAATTATTTTAAAGATAATAAGAAGGTGACGGCCAGTAGGGGATAAAAGAAAGGACTTACACAGAGAAAGACAGAAAAAAAAGACGGGAAGGGAAAAAAAATTGAGGACGGAGAGAAGAGAGAACGGACACAGAGGCAAGACACAACAGAAAGGAAAGAAAACATAAAGAACGAGAGGGAGAATGGACGAAACAAGTAAGGTCAAGAAGAAGGAAGAAAGATTAAAGAAGGAGATGAGGAAGAAAGGAGATAAGGTGAGAAGGAGTTAAGAAGTGTTGAGGACAGAAAGGAAGGTAGAAGGACGCAACGAAGGACAGCTAACGGGAAAATTGAAGGAAGTATAAAAATGGAGCGAGGACAGGGAGGGAGTTCCTGCCTGGGAACCCGCCAAATACACACTCTACTGAAGTTAAAACAAGTCTGCCGCTACTGTATGGTGAGACAATCTCAGATCTGATTGAAACAACAAATTAAAGTTCAAACTCCCGCATGAGACAGGTGTATGCTCTTCTTTCATAGAGGTTAATGTTTGATGAAGATACCCGAGGCGGCTTTCCCAGCTAGTTTATTAGCTGCTGAAAAGGTAAACAAACACCTGATTAATTTCAAAGGTTGCTTACGGGAGATTTATCCCTTTAGCAGTTCACTGGGTTTAGTTTTCCAGGAATAAATCACCGTTTGACCAGCAGCAATAAAAAAAAATTTAATAAAAGCTCCAGTAACTCCAGGCAGCCCCATCATAATTACTGCATAACAGATAGATACAATTTATTTCAGCTGAGCACAAGAACAAGATAAATGTTTCAGAGATAATTTTGTTCTCTTCTTGCTGCATCTCATTTCTGCCCTCAGCCCTGTGCTTTATAAGTAACATCTGTGGGCAAGGTGGGAAATACAAGGGACTCTAGATATTTTAAACTTTTTAGGGACACACTTGGAGACAAAGCAATCTTCTTTTTTTTAGCACAGTAACCAGCATTATGTGAATATTGAAGGGTTCCAATATAACCCTTCTGGTATGCTTATTATTCAGGCATTAGAAAACGGACTGGAGTCAAACATTTTCCACTTCAAACATTTAACTGCTACAATTAAAAGTTTGTGTAATCGCATGCAGTTCCCAGGAAGCCAAAAAATAAGTAAATAGGAAGAATAACAGTTATTTCTCCATTTACAAAGCATAATCATAAGAGCAAAACTATTGCTGAGCTCAGCTTCATCGCCAGGTGTTTGCTAATTGCTGCTGGCTAGTCTGAAGGAGCCGAGTGGCAGAGGTGCGAGGGAGGACTGCTCTTTGGGGCAGAAGCTTGAAAAGTGCAGGTCAGAGGGGGCGCTACACCTCAAAGAATGCGGTGCTAGGTCCGCCCAGGCGTTTTGCAAAGCTGAATGATCGACATGGAGATTAGAGGGTTTCTCAAACACGCATGAAAGACTCAAGGCAACGAGGAGATAACATCACGACATGACGTACAGCTCACACATGATGCCGGCTGAAGGGTTGATGGCTGCTTATTTGACACATCCAGGCATATTAAGTCATATTATGTCCATGCAATTGGAAACAGTGAGAATAGATGATGCATCTGCTTCATGAGGGAGTGTCTCGTTTCACAGTGGGATATTTTAACCACTGAGGGATGAGTGGGAGGGGTAGTGCTCGGGGCAGCACTGGTGAATGTGATTCACAGTGGGGCCAGCTGCTACTCTTGAGGCACTTCCCTTTCAACTGGGTGCATTTTCATCTCCAGAGTTTGTTTAGTTGCAGAGATAAAGTCAAAGGATTTGCACACAAAAGGAAGGTGGTTAAACAAGCATACAGAGATCGTTTAAGTATAAAAAGTAGAAAAGACAATCATAATGTTTGGATATTTTAATCATTTAAATTGAAAGCCACTTTTTTCCATTGTGGTCCTTACCTATAATTTCCCCCGTCATGAACAGGAAGTACAGTACAGCTGCGATGATGAGCCTCTTCATCACCCTCCTGTGTCTGATCCTCTCCCTCTTCCTGCTGCAGTTGTCACACGGGTCCATGTTCAAACCAGGGCTGCCCAGAGTGGACGAGGAGTCCAGCAGGGAGTCATCATCATCTTCTGCTTCGTCTCCCCCACCACCAGGCGGGACCACCACGGTGCTCACCGCCACCCCGTTGGACGGAGCCCCGGCCGAGTAGTCGGACATCTCTCCGGAGACGACCACCCTCAGCTTGTTGAACTTGGGGGCCTCGTCATCTTCCACCAGCTCGTCGGAGAAGTCAAAGGGAGCCGAGTCGCTCAGGCTCCAGTCGCTGCGATCCCTCCTGAAGGCGGACCGCACCTTATCGAAGAGCTTACCTCCTGACATGTCGAATGATTACCGGGGCTCAGCGTGTCGATAGCTCTGTGTTTAAGTCCCTGTGCTCTTGGGCAATCACTCACATCTTTATAAGGGAGCGCGGTGGTAAAGCTGCATGTCTGCCCCGACCTGTTAAAAAGGAAAGTGATGTCAAACACAGACAGTTTCATGCTGGAGAAACATGAAACAGACGCTTCGTGTTTCTACAACTGAGCAGGTCAAACAAGCAAACAAAAGAAGCAGCCGCTGTTTACAAAACTTCAATAAAGAAACATCAATAATTCTTCTCTGTGCCTTTAACAGAGAACGTTCACCTGCCCTCGTAAAAGCAGCACTGGCCAAACAGTAACAAGCTAGCAAGCAGATGTTAGCTTTCCCGTCACTTTCAGACTGAAGGGCAGCGCCTGTGACGTGACAGGTTGTTAACAAACACTCGAGAAAGACTTACTGATAGAAGAGTGTTCAGCAGGACCCGCTTACTCCGCTGTCATGATAGTAGTTGAGCAAACAACGCCAGAGCCCTGGAACCACCTTAGCTCCGCACTGAAACACAGGGAACTTTGCTTCTGTTGGGTTGGACATAGTCCTGGGATTTCCGGCTCTTTTCTGGGATCCATATCAATTGGATAAGTTCACCGGAAAGAATCGTTATCGTGCAGAGTAGAATTGCCCAGTATAGATTGGTTTCCTCACGATTGTGGTTTTTTTTATTGTAACATAGCGGGTCTCTAATCTTTTAAACCACTAAAAGTGTTTTTACACTTCAAGTCTGATGCTCAGAGTTTTCCAACTTCCACAACAATTTAGGCCAGACTAGCTTGCATATTGCATAGGAGTTTTTTTTTTTTGTTGTTGTTGTTTAATTGATTTTAGGCAATGAGGTGATTTTATAGCCGTAAATACAAAACTAGTTACACCTTTTCAAAAGAAACAAAACGAGTTAGAAAGGAAAGACCCATCGCATGAATCGGTTCCAATCGTTCCTGTAAATGAGTCGTCAAAGGGAGCCGGATCCGTCGCGCTGGCACCCTTCGGAACGTGATCACGTGATGACGCAGAGGTCACATGACGATGTCTCATGCTACAACAAATCGCAAATATCCGAATTTGTCTGTTTTCCTGCGGGCCTAACACGCGACCCGACAGCTTCCGTTCAGCCGGAGCCGAACCAGGAACCCGCCCGGCCGAGGTAGTTTTCAGTTTTCAGCCTCTGGTCCAGTGAGGACTGTCGTGTTCCTGCCATTTAAAGAAGCTCAATGAGCTAGCCGCTGCATTTCTTTGTGACTCATATGCAGGCGTTTGACTTATTTCAGGTCAAGCTGCCCGCTCGACGCTACTCGGTTGGTGGGTCAACCGAGTAGCTGCAGATGGAGGTGGAGGGGATGGGTGATGAAGGACATTCGTCCCAGAACGAACTTCCAGGTACACGGACAGTGAAAACATGTCTCTGCACAACCCGTGTCCGTCCATTGTCCGGGGCCTGCGTGCCTCTGCGCGGTGCGACACAGTTGCAGCTTTGTTTCACAGCACAAAGCGGTTTGCTTGCACGAATAGAGAGGAAAGCTTCAGGAAGACGGCAGGTATTTTGTCAGGTTGCCACGTGTTTAGTTTGGTCAGAGCAAAGCACTGAGCTACATTCCAAGGAAGATTACAACTACAAGAGACCTGCCGAGGAACAAACTAATACCTCTGTTGTCCAAATCCCTGCTCAGATTTGAGTTTCCTGTATTTCAGCGTCTGACACTTGCAAATAAACATTGAGTTTGAAGGTAATAGATTTGCACTGATCTGACTGGAGCTACAGAATTGCAATGCTTTGGAAAAAATATTCAAAGTTTTGTTCGCATCCTTCCACATGTTTGCTGCTGTGCCCTCGCAGCTGGTGGCAAACTGTGAACAAGGACTCTTGTGACTCTCCCCAAAAAACTACCTTTCTGTCTATTTTCCTTTAAGAGCAGAACCAATTGAGTTCACCGCAAATAGTTGCCCTGTCAGCAGCATCTCCCATCCGAGCTGCGGGTCTCTGAAGGTCCCCCAAAGTTACCACAAGGCAGCTGGATTAATATTAAAATCAGATCACTCACACGAGTGGAATTAAGATGCCTCTCCACATTTTGATAAAGAACAGACAAAGACAACTTTTATCAGCTCACACATTCAGAATAGTTGTGAATTGGTGTTATGGATCTCTTTTGATGCCGCTCATGTGAAACACTTTTCAGTTGTGGTGGATGATGGAGAAAGAATCTTAATTGGATCTTTTTTTTTCCAGGAGAACTCCAAATAAATGTTTTAAAATTGTTTTAGCATCAACTGCATAGTCTAATATTTAATTTCATGAAAAATGTGTTGAATTCTTATGTTAAAACAAAAATATTAGTAAAAGGGTTGCCTTCCAGATTGTAAGAATGTCGTAAGAAGGTTATGACCACCTAAGCCTCACTAACTGTATGAGTATACGTCTGCATGATGTTGTTTGAGCTCTCTGAACTTGCTTGACAGATCTCGGGGCAACGCAGCAGCTGCCAGCGGATCTGCGAAGCTCCACGCCTGCAGAGAACGTCTGCGTGAGTCAGAAAGCAGTGGACAAACTCACTGAGGGTTTCCTCTCCCACTACCTACCAGATCTGCAGAACTCTAAACGGGCCCTGCAGGAGCTCACGTACGTCTCTGCATTTTCTGTGCTTTGATGGTTTCGCTCCTGTTCGTAGTGCAGAGAAAAAGTATACAAGAATATGCAAAACATGTTTTGATGTGCACAGCATTCAGTTGTCTTGATTGATAATTTGCACAAGAAACAAACAAGAGTCATGCAAAACATAAAATACAGATCAGCTTTCTGTTGTCGGTGCTTATTGTTAGTTTCTGTGCAAAGTGATGAAACTATAATCATGTCACATTAAAACATGTTGATTTTCTATTCTGTGTTTATTTGATCTGGATTTTTTCTAAACAAAAGAAAAGAGACTCAGTACTTCAGAGTGATCAATCTGTTGTAAATCCCCTTTCGACTCAACCCAGAACTTTCCATTTCTTCATTTTCAGCCATTTCTTGTTCCTTGGGGCTTTTTCAGCTTTAGCTATTAATAAATGGTTTCACCCTGAGTTCTTATTGGCCTCTGAAACATGACATGTTCATGGTAAAGTCTGTAATAGTTAGCTGAACATTTCCCAAACCATGACACCTCTTACACCATGCTTTTCATTTCCTTCTAAAAGAACCTCATGGTTTGGGTTCAGTGAACTTGTCTTTGTTTCGTCGTACCATGTTTTCTGTACAGTGCAGCGGCTGATTTCAATTTTTTATTTGTGACCTCTTTAGGTTGCTTGGCAGACATAGAAGTCTATTTCTATTTTCATCTCACCCTGCTAAACCCTACTCATCCAGTCATCAAAATTTGCCGCATCTGGTCACTTTTTTTATGCTTCTGATACAACTTTAATCGATAAAAACTTCTCTTGCTTCTCCTTTGAACGATTCTGTGTTTATTTCCTCTTTCCAACCAGACAAAATCAGCTGATACTGTTGGACACACTGGATCAAGAAGTCACCAAGTTCAGAGAGTGCAACACCTTGCTGGACCTCAACTCGCTGGTGTGAGACTTAAAAAAAAAAAACTAAAAAAAATCTTTTTCTGGACTCTGTGGATCAGAACGGAGGACTAACCCGTTTTGTCTTCTTCAGTTTACAGAGGCCAAAATTTACCAGAACAAGCTGGTGAACATAAGAAAAGAGATGATCATGCTTCATGAAAAGACAACTAAGCTAAAGGTACTGTCGCCGCGAAAAGAGATCTAAACGGGCGTTGACTGCATGTTGGGTAAGTGTTTGGTGTTGTTGGATTTTCAGAAAAGGGCTCTGAAGCTGCAGCAGCAGAAGCAGAAGGAGCTGCTGGAGAAGGAGCAGCAGCGTGAGCGGGAGCTGGAGAGGGAGAGGCAGCTGATCGCCAAACCGGCTAAAAGAACGTAGAGATGTTGAAGAACCGCTCTTTGGGGCTCGCATGTCTTACTCCGTTTACTACATATCGCCGATCAATGACACAGACCTGTAACCATTTTCCAAAGGGCTCATTGGACAGTCGGAGAGGCAGCGCGCGGTTTCAATACGTTTCAATACAGATCTTGTGAGAATCTGTTGAGGAACTTGGAGAAGCTCCTCCGCATCTCCTGCTTAATCAAATTTATTTCCAAACAAATTTATCTACACTATATACACGCAATATCTGTACATAAATAAAGTTGTTCTCATGACATCCTGGGGATAACGTTATGCCACTTTAAGCTGCGGTTCTCTAAAAGTCTTGAGAGTTTTGATTTTACTTCCCTCGTCATTTCCATTTTAAACATGTTGCAGCCGACTTCCTCCTTGTTCAGCCTAGTTTGTCACAGTTCCAGTTCGTTTGGACTCACTCTGACTGTTCGGGCAGATTTAGCTGTGTATCTATTTGCTTTAGTTGTGTGACGTATCGATAGAAGCACTCATGTCTTGCTCGAATGGCCTGTTCTCTCATTTTTTTTCAAGACATTTATGGATTCTTGAGCAAAAGTCCCTTCATATTCTCAAACCTAAAAAGAAATGGAAAGGAAATTCCTCAAGGAGATTTCTGTTAACAAATTTGTTTGGGTGCCAACATTTAGGAGAATGGTGTTTTGTTTTTTGTTTTTTTATTACTACAGAAAGGTTGGGTTTGTCAAAAAATAAAATATTACATCATTGTGCTGCAATGAAAGGTAGGTTTATGTTAATACTTTTTCCAGCTGTTTATCAGTATGGATTCATATATTGGCCTTTTTACATTTACTAAACGCCTTGTTTCTTTGGTATGTTGTGGAAAATATTTACACTCCCTTCTGAATTTACTGCTTGTCCAGCAGGAGAAACAGTTTTGAACAGATCAGGAGGTTTAAATATAAAACAATATTCACCGAGGCATTTGGAAAATTTCAGTTCAGACCTCCTTAAATCTGCGGCGCACTTTGGAAAATGGTTTCCTGAATGAAACACTTAATGTGGTGCTTAGTAAATAGGAAAAGTAAAAAGCTTGCAGAACCTCGATTTCGGTTGTTCCTGTCTGACTCAGCCAAGGACACCATAAACCAAAGACCTGAACTACGTCATCCAATGCTGTTTGACTTCTGACGATGCGTATGTTTGTGAAGCAGAACAAATCATCCCTGACTCTTTGACAGATGATAATCTGGGAGAACTTCTGCATCTGCTGTGTTTTGTCAAAGTGTCTAATATGCGTTGTACTATGGGCCGAAAGCCCCGTTAGTATTGAATGTTACAGAAGAAATGTGTTGTGCAAATGTATTTTTTTTTTTCTGCACTAAATCTGACTGTGGGTTGTGTACTATGACAATAGATGGTAAAATGTACCAAACTGTAAACGTCACTTCCAAATCATATGTATTTTTTTTTTTTTTGTAAAGGCCTTCTATGCACTAGTTTTGTTTTTGTTTGAAATTCTAGGGTTTGTAGAGTTAATAATAAAAGCAACATAATCACTAGTTTGGTGAGATTTTTCTCTGGTTGTTGAATAATTTACGGTGTTTGTCAAAAATAGAAATTAAATTATCAAAAGTCTTTTTTTTGGTTGTTCGTTCTGAGAGACAGAACTCATGTTATAGTTTCATTAAACACAGATTGATATATTTTAAGCCTGCATGTAATAAAAACCCAAAATGACAATATTGCATACTTTAGTCCAAAGAACTGAAAAGTGGCCGGCAGCACTAACTCTGTAGTTTATACAGCTAGTGGACCAACGGCAGCAGATGACCCCAAATAATCACATTGTATGGAAAGTCAATGTTGGACCTCAAGCAGCCCCTTCAGACTGAGACTTTTAATTGTAAACAGAATGAAAATTATGCTTTTGTCTGAAAATAGCGTGTTAGATGCTTTTTCCGTCCTCCGCCCAGGTGAGACACTTGACTGTGTCCTGGATGTGTGGTGATTCTTGAACCTCTGACTCCAGCTGCTGTCCACTGCAGCCTTCTCAATCTCCCCTCTTGGATTATATTTATTTCATCATCCTTTTTCAATTTTTGTGATCCTTATGACTTGTGCACAGTTTTTTTTCTAGCAAACATCCACAGTCAGTTTTCCATTCACATGTTGAACTTGGCAGTTTCCCCCCACGGTCACGTTTCCCATAACACCACCGAAACCTAATATTTCGGTAATATCAGTTCTGCTGGTCTCAATGAATATTTAAGTGTCTGAGAAGTCATTTTTGTTTTCTTAAATGTAAACTCTGAGCTGTAATGCTGATTTTAGCTCACTAGGTGGCAGCAGAGAACCGCTCCTCTCTTTGCCCAAACATGCTCATGAAGCAGAAGTCAATGCTGCACGCTTGAGGCAATGCACTGTTATAACTTGGTTAACATGCATCCCCTTAACATGTTGCGCTTCATCAGACTAACTTGTTTTTTCTTATTGGATGTTTTTTTTTTCTTAAGATCCAAACACAGGTAAAAAATAAATAAAAATTGACCAGTCACAAAACTGGACTTTGTTGACAGAGAAAGCAGGTTAGACTCTTGCTCTCAGTGTCTGCCACACCCACTTCCATTTCACATAAATCTCCAGTTTTATCCTCAGCTACTACAGCAGGAAGCTGAGTCAAAGCCCACAAGACTCTAAAATGCCCCCGCTTGGTTTGTCTTGGACTGTAACACTGGGTGGACATTAATGGGGAATTCTGAGGTCGGGGCAATTTGGCATCTCGCTGACAAAAGGAATGAGTAGAAAACACAGTTCTGAGGGCAACTGTGCAAATCTTTATTGTTTTTTTTTTTTTTTTTACATTCCAGCGTTTGAGGAAAAGTTATATTTTGTGACAAAAACAATCAGTGGAAGTTAGAAACAGTATGTGACATGTAGAACTTGGGTTTTTAGTCTTTTTTATTTTAGACATTTGGTGAATTGAGTTAATTAAATCTGGACTCTTAACGTCTTCAAATGGCTAAATAACAACCTGATGCAATTTCAACATCACAGAGTCCAAATAAGCCCTCAGCAGACATCCAACTTGCATCGCACCAAATTTTGATATTTCCTCGCTGCCCCTTTCTGGTGCTCCTTAATTATTATGGATGAACGTGTCTGTTGAAATTTTCAGGGTGAAGTCCCTGCGGGTTCAAATATGGGGACCAGCAGTGGTCTCAGTAAGGTCACTTCTGGCCTCTGTGTCATCTGAGACGGAGGTCAGATTTTTCATTCTGGAGCTTTTACTCTAGATAGGAATGAATCCGGTCCAGAACCAATAGAGTTGGCCTGATAACTTTTGGGTCAGTCAAAATTAGAAGGTTCATAATCAGAACAAAAGAAAATCTTTTTCTTCTCAATTTAAGTCTTCCTCAAACTTTCTTTACTCCTGACATTTGTCAAGTGAAAGTCAATTAAAAACAACAACAACATAAACTAAAACAATAATACCTTGATAAGAACAGAACCTGTTCCGTTAAACTAAACAGGTTATTTAAAACTGACTCTGTTCGTCTAGCAGATGGAGGCATTAAAGCTTCTTGGGGGAGACGGCTCGCAGGCACATTGTTTTCGGAGGCAAGGCCAGTGTTGTCTCTGAGCGTTTGATTGGAGAGCCGTCTCTACTTTTAGAAAGTTACCCGTCAGGGAAAACACAGCCTCCCCTCACCAAAGCCGCAGGCGAGTCACAGAGAGACGGAGCAGAAGAAACAGATGATGTTGTAGCCTTCCAGTCTGAGTAAACAGTGATTCAGATGGGTGAGGAGTGGGAGGCTGTGGTCTGCTGGAGACTGGCAGCTCCAGGCCTCTCCCAGACCCTCCACAACAGGATATGGTCCTCGGGGCCCACACTAAGATGCGTGGTATTATTATTCTCACCAGGTTTTACCATTTGGTTTGAGTGGTGGACGTTGAGCACGGTTTGTCACATGTGAAAGGTTTGGCATGCAGTGCTGGAAAACACATGGCCTGTGGTGTTTTTGTCCAAAGCGACGGTGAATTAGGTGATTTTTCCCTTCTGCACCATGCCTTATGTAACGGTTCAGAGTCAGATCAGGATGAGTGGGTAGTGTGGCAATGAAGACGTTTGTAATTAGGCTTCTGTGACGCAGCAGATGGCACAGAGCAGCTATTTAAACAGTTCACCACGTAACCAAAGCAACTTTCCAAAGCAGCAATTTCACATTTGAATTCAGAGAGATATTTTCTCCCTCACTTACGGAATAACCGAATAACCTACTGCCATTGGAAAAACTAAACATTTCAACTTCCTGCATGTTGATAAAGGAAGGAGCAGCCATTTGCTGTATTGATCAAACGAGACCACATCTGCAAAACAAGACGTTTTGGAAACTTGGTGATTTGGAGCACGCCACTGTTGATTACATAATGGTATAGAGAAAAGGCAGCCATGAGCTCAGACATGCAATTTCTTTCTCACATCATTCTTGGGAGAGTTGTAGGAGCATTTCCAAACAACTTGAAATACGTCATTTTAAAAATTATTATTCTCAAAAAGAAAAGCGTTTTAAACGGCTGCACATCTTTCCAGGGGGGAATTTCCTGGTACATTCATCCCAAAGTTAGACTAAGCAGTGTACATGCAACAACAACAAAGACATGCATTTTGGGCTCCAAAGTCAATTGTACAATTCAGAGCCAGCAGGGCTTGTTCTGATAGGTTGCCAGGTGAAAAACTCTGCAATGAAAACAATGCCAGGCTCTGGAAAACTTAACCACAAGACATTAAAACTGTGTTTTATCTTTTTTTTTTTTACATGTTTTTTTTTTTTAGTAAAAATGTAAAACATTTTACATGTTTTTAATATGCAACACATTTAAATGAAATAAATAAATAACTAAATATTGCAATGTGGCATCAAAGTCCACAACTTGCCATAATCTAAATCCATTTTTAGGGTAAATTTAACCCATATTCACACAAAAAAAGGCTTAAATTCCAGTGGCCCATTCTTATGTCCTAAGGTTTAACTTCTTGGCTGACGTGTTTCAACGTTTTCATAAAAATCTGTCTTCTCGTGATGCAACAGATTTTGAGAAGCGCGGCAAGATATCCACAGAGCATGATGCTGCCACCACTCCAGGGACGGTGTTCAGACATTTCATGTCAGACAGTGCAAGAACAAAACGCTGCGTGGCCTTTTTAGGCAGTAAATGCTTTCAACGTTGATCGGTCATTGCTTTGTGAGATACAACAGCAAATATTGTGCAGCCATAAAGCATAAAGTCCAAAAGGTGACCTCCGTGGCTGTAAGTCGCACTGCATTTCCTGCCAGTTCTACATGCCATTATTGCTATTTTGAATCTGAATGAATGCCTCTTTCAGAACGCTGAGGCTGCAACAACAACAGCACTGCAGTGTGGTCAGTTTAATATCTAACGCCATATTGGGGCTACGCAGCGTGCTGTTGTGTCTGCGCTGCGGTCAAAATCTCCCCAGACTGTGTCCGCTCAGAATAAACGCAGACGGAGGGGGTGAACCGCAGCAGATGTTTTCACTCCAGCCTCGCACAGGTGAAGTGTTGAGACCTGCTCAGCTCCACTGCCAAGGAGGTCCACAGAGACTCACACTTTCAAAACAAGTCTCTGCAGAAATGTTTATTTGTCACGAAACATTTTTATGGGCGGAAAAAAAAAAAGAGGCTCCTGTAAGACTGCTGTAAAAGGGATAAATATAGGAAAAACTGGTATGCAAATGAGAAGCTGTGGCTGAGAGGGTGGTTTGACCAAATAAATGAGCTCTGTCCCTGTTGTTTTCTCTGGTAGGAATTATGTTAAAGGGTACACTGAGATACTGTCAGCAGGACAGGGATATTGTTTTGAGACAGACGGCCACAGAGTTGCAGTCACCTCTGCTGCCAGGATGGTTAGCGGTTGCAGGGCTGTGTCCCGTCTGACCTGTGTGAGGTGGCGATGTGATAATCCAAACCGTAACTGTATGGAGTTAGAGGTCTGAGGCCAGGATTTATAGGGTTGTTTAGATGCTCTATTTGAGTCAGCCGCATCGCAGACGGTCGCTTCCTCCGCTTTTTGGACAGACCGAGGGGAAGTGCGTTGCAGATGGACGCAAAATCAGACAGACACACACACACACACACACACAGGCAGGAGGAAAGGCAGCAAACAAGATCCAGTCAGGGCCAGTACTCATCACCCGCAGTGTGGTGGTTT